TACAGGACTAGAACTGGAAGATCGTACCTTCTGACCGGCTTCTCCCAATCCCAGTAACCACCTCCCCTTCTCTGGTAACCACCAGCCTGTTCTCTGCACCCGGGAGTCTAGGGTTTTTTAGACGCAGCAGATAAGTGAGATCATGTGGTATTTGTCATTGTTTGACTTATTTCGTTTAGGGCAAGGCTCTGAGGGTCAACCTATGTGGTTGCAAATGGCAAGATTTCCTTCTTTCTTAATGGCTGAATATACCACTGCGTGTATACACCACATCATCTTGATTCATCCATCCTGGAGGGACTCTTAGGCTGTTCCATGCCTTGGCTCTTGTAAATAGCACTGAAATGAACGTGGGGATGCAGATATCTCTTCGAGCTCCAGATTTCATTTCCTCTGAATAAATACTCGGAAGTGGAGTTGCTGGATCATAGGGTAGTTCTGTTTTTAATATTTTGGGGAGTCCGCCTTCTGTAGTGGCTGCACCAACTTACATTCCCGCCAACAGTGCACAGGGTTCCCTGTCCTCCACGTCCTACTATTTCTTATTTTTTTGCCTTTTTGATCACTGCTGTTCTAACAGGTCTCTCACTGGTTTGGATTAGCACTTGGTAAACAGTGGTATCGAACATCTTTTCATGTGTCCTTTGACCATCTTTATGTTTTCTATAGAAAAATTTCCATTCAGATCCTCTACCCACTTTCTAATTAGGGGGTTCGCACTTGTTGATTTTGGCTTTTGTCGCATGCGCATCAGGTGTCATTTCAAAAAAATCACCAGGACCGTCACTGAGAAGTTCTTTCCCTGTGTTTTCCTCTAGAAGTTTTATGGCTTCAGGTAAAAGTGAAGGTTTTTGAGACATTTCTTATGTTGCTTGGACTGGTTCAGGCTGTGGTTATTTTTTTCTTCTTTTCTAAGTTTAGAATGGATGATTGTGGTTTTGCCCTTTGAAATGAAAAGTCAAGTGTCCATTATAGTTAATAAGTGCTTGCTTAAAGTAAGCAAAGGAAACTAATTTCTCAAAAAGGCAGAATGTGGAGAGTACTATAGAATTCCCTTCTCTGTGGCTTCCTTTATGGGAAAACACCATGCTGGTGCCTCCCTACTGCACCGCATCCTGCTGAGTTTTGACTTCCCCGTAGTGAGCTCTAAAAACAGACCATCATAGGTTAAGATGACTTAATTTCTAACCAGTCAGATGTTAGGCTCCAAAAGGAACATTAAAACATCTTAATGAGTACTCAAAGCACTGTTTTTACACACACACACACACACACACACACACACACACACACACACACACCATAAGTAGGACTGGAGAATCTGCAGGTTAAATTGAGGTTCTTGGGAGCAGTCCCAACCCAGGTGGCCATTGTGGTTCTTTGTGGTTGGCTGATAAGCCCTGAGGGTTTCTTCTCCCTCACACAGGAGTCCTTCCTCTTCTACTATGCGTCCACCCCTTCTCTTCATACCTTCTCACCCCGTGTGTGTTTGTGACCCTTCCAAGCCTCACATTGAATGCTCTTCCCTCTGCAAGAAATCATGGTCCTCTCCTGTGCCTAGTCAATTGTAAAGGCCTTTCTCAGCTCACTGAAGAAACCTTTCATTGTTTTCCGCAGTCAGGAGTCTTCTCTGAAAAGACCTCCTTTTCCCATTGGATCAGTGATAAAATTGTCAAACAAAGTTAGGTTGTTTAAGACGTCGCGGTTGGAAGGGTGGATTAGTATGTATTAAATGTAAGTGGGAAACAAAATATTAGCTTTCTGAGTCTTTTTAACGAGATCACTGAAGAGCATGTCTCTGGGATAACACTCCCTCTTCCAGAAACACTTACGGGAGATTATAGTTGGAAAAACGTCTAAGCACTTGTAAATTGTGGAAGCATACGGTTTGGGAAGTGTGTGGTGTATGGAGAAGGCCGGGGCCGGTGCAGACTTGCTCTGGCATCCCTGCTCTCTCGCCGTCCAGCTGCCCTTCAGAGACACTGCTTCCCACAGTGGCTGCATCAAGTCAACTTCACGCAGAACTCTTAACACTGGCTCGCACGGCAAATGCATATTGAGTCTGCTGAGTGTGTGTGGCATCTCGTTCAGGCACTGGGGACACAGCAGGGAAGCAAGTGCTTTGCTTCTAGGGAGGTTCCAAGCTGTTCCCTGGGCTAGGGTCACGGTTGCTGATGAGGACACATCCCAGGAGAAAGGTACTCAGCTCTGGCACGTGACACGGGCGGGCTGGCAGTCTGTCTGAAGTGGTGGTCCTAGGGTTTTTCCCTGAAAGGTTGCTCCCACTGGGCTGTGTATCCCCCTGATTCCCTAATTTCCCCTCAGACAGCGTGTCGCAGAACTCTGCGGCATTCACGGGGACGATGCTTTGCCTTTGCAACAATACTACTTGAGTAATTTTTTTTTATGTAATATGTTCTATTTTATGTGGGAAAATGTGTGAGCAGTACGAGCAGATATCTCCGGGGCCAGACTCCGCACACCTCTGTGAGTGAGCAGACAGACGTGAAATGCACAGCCCTCCATGACTGACGTGAACTGCACGGAGGCCCGCACATCCTATGTGGTGGCTGGAGTGGCTTCCTCCCTTCTTGGGGAGGGCGGGCGCATATCCAGCAGGGAACAAAGTCAGGTGGGGTGGCCGTGCTCACGGGAGCCGGTGTTGGAGGAAGCCGGAGGCAGCAGGACAGCACTTGGAAGCCGGGAGGGTCCCCGGCGGATCAGGGATCAGGTGGTAGCTGCCCTGAGGGCCGGCTTCCCCGGGGAAGAGGTGTGCGGCGGGCGAGCTGGGTCCCCATGTCACACAGCACCGCCCCTCAGCAGCTGCACGGTTAACCCTTCAGATGAGGGAGCAGGGTGAGTGTTCCCGCCACCTGCCTCACAGGCACCTGTTCGTACCTTTCCGGACAGCTTCTTGTAGCAGGTGCACAGCATCTCAGGAGGCGCCTCGTCCATCTGTAGAGGACCTCACTGCTGCACTCGCCCGGGTACGGCTTTGCTGCTTGGAGTGTGGACGGTGAGGATGGCGGCTCCTCAGACGGCGCCTCCCGAGAGTCTAGAGCGCCCCGTCCTCACCCCTCCCAGCTCATACTGCGTGAGGCTGTGCGGGCTTTGGCCCGCATCTTACGGGAGGTGAGCTCCCCTGGCCCCCAGGACAGGGGGTGCTTACGTGCTGGGGCAGGGCAGCCTGGTGAGAGTGCACTGTCCATTTTGGACCGGGAGGAACACACTCAGCTCCTGTCCCTCACTCCCTGCCACTCACGACCGCACCGTGGACGCCCCTGTCCCTCCCTGCTCCTGTACTCACAAGATGAGTTGTAGGTGGAGAGGATTAAAGGAATGGATGCAAGTCAAGACCATGGCAGAGTGCCTGTCCCCCAGCAGCGCACCTGTCTCTCATCCAGCACCCCCACCCTTCAGTTAATTTTTGTTAATCCTAAAATGTCTCATCAAGATGAAACGGTCATCTCAGCCTCTCATGTTGTCAGGATTAAGTGAGTGAGTGCCCGTGGCCCTGGCTTCCCACCTGCACGCGCTTGTACGCTGGTTGGGATCCTGAACCTGGCCCTGACCTGTCTCTGCCTGCACCTGCCTCCTGTGTTCATGAGGCCGACTGCCAGGTTGGGGAGTGTGTGTGTGATGCAGATGGTCCATTGCTTTTTTTTTTAACGTTTGAGAGACAGAGCACCAGCCAAGGAGGAACAGAGAGAGAGGGAGACACAGAATCCAAAGCAGACTCCAGGCTCTGAGTCGTCAGCAGAGAGCTTGACACGGGGCTCCAAGTCGTGAACCACAAGATCACAACCTGAGCCAAAGTTGGGTGTTTAACCGACTGAACCACCTGGGCGGCCCTCCAGTTGCTTCTTAATAAGAATTTGTTCCCGCCATGACTGGTCTTCCCAGGGCACACCTCGCCCAGGAGCCAGGAGTGTGAGCCACAAGATCCTTGTCCTCCAAGGACTCTCCTTGGATGAGATCTGAACTGTGGTGGCCTCAGTTCCAGATGACCGAGCTCTTGTCTTCATCCCTGTATCCATGACTCTGTGGGAGGGCTCTGTGGTCAGCATAACCTACCCCTCACCGTGGTGCTCTCTGTGGCCTGGGTGCTGAGGATAGCGTTCCTAGACCAGCAGGACTGGGATGGGGCGTCTATGTGTGCATGTCTGTGTGTGCACATGTGAGTCTGTGCGCATGTGTGTCTGTGCTCGTGCATGTACATGTGTGTGTCTACCTGTGTGCATGTGTGTATCTCTGCATGTATGTACACACATGAGTCTGTGTGTGCATGTGTGTGTCTGTGTGTGTATCTCTTTGCACATGTGTGTCTGTGTATCTCCGCATGTGTGTCTGTGTGTGCATGTGTGGATCTCTGCACGTGTGTGCACATGCGTGTACACAGGTATCCATGTGTGAACATGTGTCCATGTATGTGTGCCTCTGTGTGTGTGCGTGTGTGTCTGTGCATGCGTGTGTGCACATGTATCTCCACTGTGCACACACGTGTGTCTTCTGTACGTGCGTATCCACGTGTGTGTGCACATGTATGTCTGTGCGTGTGTATATCTCTGCATGTGTGCGCACATGTCTCTTTGTGTTCGTGTGTGTGCACGTGTATCTGCGTGTACATGTGTGTATCTCTGCGTGTGTGCACATGTGTGTCTGTGTGTGTGTGTGTTCATACACCTGTGTGCCCGTGTCTCTCCAGTCATACCTTCAGCCTTCTCAGTGCCGACGAGGTCCTCTGGCACCTTAGAACCTCGGGCTCTGCTTGGGTTGCACCTCGGTGGGAAGGAGCCCCCCGTTTCTTTGGGCAGCTGCGTGCTCGGTGCCAGCTGGCACAGGGTGACTGCTGGGGCACAGCTTCATCCTTATGCCTGTGATGCTTCTACAGGAGACATGGTCTGGCTTTACTGATCACAGAAATTGCCCAGGCCGGAGCCAGCAAGGCTGGATTAGCACCTCCACCCCATGGCGCCAGCTCCCCTGATGGCGTGCTCCCTCCATCACACACGGCCGCCTTCTGCATCGTCACCGCCGGATTCCTGTCTGAATCCTTCTACCAGGCAGGCTTCCTGTGCTCAGTAAGCATTTCCTGAAGGAACGAATGCATGAATAAGTGTGCTCAGTAAGCACTTTATGAATGAATGAATGAATGAGCTTAGTAAGTACTTCCTGAACACATGAATGAATGAGTGTGCTCAGTAAGTACTTCCTGAACAAATGAGTGAATGAGTGAGCTCAGTAAGCATTTCCTAAGCAAATGATGAATGAACTCAGTAAGCACTTCCTCAATGAATGAATGAATGAATGAATGAACTTAGTAAGCACTTCCTGAACAAAGGAATAAATGAATGAATGAGCTCTGTAAGCACTTCCTCAACAAATGAATGAATGGATGGGCTGTTAGTACTTCCTGAATGAATGAATGAATGAATGAGCTCAGTAAGCACTTCTGAAATGAATGGCCCAGCGACCAAATGCACAAATGGCTCCATGTAAACCAAGGGGGTTGGGTGAATGCTGGGTCCTGGCCGCCCAGGGCACCTGTGCTGGGGGTAGGGACCCTGAGCTGCAGGTTTCAGGCACCACAGGGATAGTCATTTGCTTCCATTAAGGACCCACCCGAGACTGGACAGCCTAACTGTGGGAAGGGGCAGTTACAGTGGCAGGAGGGCCAGCTAGCGTGTTGTTGGGGGTCTGTGGGTATGTGGAGACGACGGGGAGTAAGGCAGCAGCTGCGGGGGACAGAAGCTTCCCAAAAACCCTGGATGTGGGGACTGACCTTGTAGGTTGGCAGTTACAGACTACTTTCTTTGGGATCAGACATGGGTCTGGTTGGGGTGTGTGGACAGCAGGTTCCATTCCCCAGGGTGGGACGCTGCTGCTCAGAGGGTGGCGGGCCCCTGTGATGGCACTCCCTGTAATCCTCGGTTGTCCCCTCCGTCCGTGGGGGCCGTCTGGGGTTCTTGCGTGACACGGCCAGTCAGGTGCAGCCACAAGAGGACCCGGAGCAGAGGCTCAGGAAAACCAGGGTTGTTACACTCCTGGGTCCTAGAGACAGGGGCACGACATGGGGATGCCCCAGGAAGGCCAGGAGGCAGGGAAGGATTCACACCGTGAATGGGCTTTGTTGGGCTTGGCTGGGACAGGCCGGCAGGGCATGGTAAACAATTTAGGACCGGCTAGTTTGAACAACTTTGGTGAGTTTTGAGCAACAAAGGTGGCCCTTCTTGCCTTGCACCAGGGCCCAGGATGATCAACGCTGAGGGTTGCTGCCCCTGGGTGCAGGATCTGACGGGGGAGGCAGGTGGAGGGGTCCTGCTCCTGGGTGCAGGGACAGATGGGGGAGGCAGGGC